TTTTTTTTTTAGAGTAGGCTCCATGCTCATTGTGGGGCTTGAACTCATGACCCTGAGATTCAGAGTTACATGCTTTATGTGCCCCTAACCCTTTTTTATTTTTTATCTACTTTAAATCTGGAAAAGAATACTATCTTGGCTTAAAATATCTTAATTGCTAATCTTGTCAAAACTTGTCTTTAGAAAAGCAAAGAATGCCTCACAACTTCTTTTCTTTTGCATTCTTGAGATTTTTTTTTCTTTCTTTTCTTTTATACTTACCAAGCCCTAAATTCATAGAGAATACGTTCCAGCAGCTCAGGCTCCTTTTCATTGGTTCTCACCAAATGTGCTTCTCTGGGTGGAGCAGGCTAGCCCTTGAGTTGAACCCAAGTACCTTTCCCTTTGGCTTCCTTCTTTTTCTGATCATTTTCCTTCACATGCTTTAGGAAGTTATTTTGGCTTTTTTTTTTTTTTTAATGTTTATTTCTGAGGCAGAGAGAGAGCATGAGTGGGGGAGGGGCAGAGAAAGAGGGAGACACAGAATCAGAAGCAGGCTCCAGGCTCTGAGCTGTCAGCACTCAGCCTGATGCCAGGCTTGAACTCATGAGCCACAAGATCATGACTTAAGCCAAAGTTGGACACTTAACCGACTGAGCCACCCAGGTGACCCGGAATTTGGTTTTTCTACAAGTACCACTGGCCTCTAGACTTATACCTGGATTGCGGTGTTCTTTTCTTTAAAAAAAAAAATTTTTAATGTTTATTTACTTTTGAGAGAAGGAGACAGAGCGTGAAGGGGAGAGGGACAGAGAGAGAGAGGGAGACACAGAATTGGAAGCAGTCTCCAGGCTCTGAGCTGTCAGCACAGAGCCCGATGCGAGGCTCGAACCTACAAGCTGTGAGATTATGACCTGATCAAGATCATGACCTGAGCCGAAGTTGGAAGCTTAACTGACTGAGCCACCAAGGCTATTTGCCCAATAATTTTATTGCAGTGTTTAGCAATCAGTATAAGTCAGCTGCAGCCCAACCAAATAATTCCATTTTTAGATAGAGCCAACAGAATGCATACATTAGAATAGATAGATTGAGGTGTATTCATATAAAATACAAAGAGTAATGGACTGTTTAGACTGTAAATACACATAATAATGGATGTCACAAACATAGTTGAAAAGGCACAAAATAATATATACTATTGAATATATATAAAATTCAAAAATAGAAAAACGAATCTAGGGTATTAGAAGTCAGGATAGTTGTTATCTTTGTTTGGAGTTGTGACTGAGAGAGGACACAACAGACCTGAGTTTCATGTTCTGTTTCTTGGTCTGGGTATTATTGACTTAAGTGTTTTTACCTTATGAAATTTATGATTTGAGCTGTATCCTATGATTTGTTTACTGTTCTGAATGTATGTTTTAGGTCAACAAAAATGCTTACATAGGGCAAAAAAACCTATGGGCTAAGGTGAGATTGCCCAGGATGTATATATAAAGTGAGAAGAGTGACAGAATGCTGAGGAACAAAGAAACCATGCACATATTCCTATTTCTTTCCCGATTTTCCTCAGTTTTTCCTATGAAAGCTTTGCATAAGGTAAGGATAATGCTAAGAATGAAACTTCTGTTAGAGAATGGGATTGCCCTTGTAGCATTTCTGCATAGAGACTGTTTCCAAGGAGACATTGGACAATTTATTCTTAGATTTTGCAAAAGTCAAAGAGTTGGAGGAAGAACTACTATCATGAGAAAGACTTACCAGGAAGCAGGAGATGGTGCTAAACACAGAACAGCAACATTTTTCTAAATCTTCCTAGTGTATTGGATCCCAGTCAGTGCACTGTAACTATATCATCATCTCTCAGTGATACACTGAAATGATATACTTTGTGAATTATTTGGTTTGAGGAGGCAAAACAGAAGGATTTCCATACCGACCATCTTCTCAGAGTGCTTTTACGAGTGGGAAAGTACTCCCAATTAAACAGAAAGGTCTATCACTAAAACCTATTAACATACAATATTGGAAAAGTGTTCATCTGGACCACTGCGTACTTCTTTCTGTTTTCCAGAAATGGCAAGAAGTCTTTTGAAGACATCATCTTTGTCTGTGAGGACAAAATTACTACATCAAACGGGATTGTCACTTTATAATACATCCCATGGCTTCCATGAAGAAGAAGTAAAAAAAAAACTTGAGCAGTTTCCTGGTGGATCCGTTGACCTTCAGAAGGAAGATAGTGGTATTGGCATTCTTACCCTGAACAATCCAAGTAAAATGAATGCCTTCTCAGGTATAGAGATCTTTCTTTTGCTAAAGAATGACACTAAATCTAAGCTGCTGTCACATATTTTTATCTCTAGTGACAATTCTTGAATGTTGTGTTACTCTTGGAACACATACACTCACACTGAAAACCCAAACCATCATTTGAACCAGGAACATTTTTTATTAATTGTGAATATTTTAATCTTTTTAAAAAATCCATGAATACCGATGTTGATAAAAAGGAAACTTGGAAATTAATCTTGCACTTGCCAATGTATTGCAGCATTTCCTGACTCTTAGATACTGGTAAATCTAAGTAAATTACATACTGGTAAATCTAAGTAAAACCTTCTGTTTGCCAAGCAGCATTCTTGGGCATGTAAGAATTTCCTGTTTAAGGGACCTGAAAGTCCAGGACATGTGGTAATTTGTAATTTTGTGCCAAAGCTCAAATTTGAACTATGCTATTGTGATGTTATGCAAGAGCTGAGTGAGTAATACTGCTGACTCTAGCATTTCTCCCTGCTTCAAGATGATTTTGGCAATTTCTGTCTGTCAGTGATGTACCTTGTGTACCTTGTGGGTTGTTAATGATGTACAAGAGCTAATAAATAACCTTGCTGACTGCCCAGTCAAGGTGACTTCGGCAATTTGCCTGTTATGCCCGTCATGGAGGGTAAATTATATTCTGTAGTATTTGAAATACTGAGCTTAAAAATACCTCTATAAATTTTCATACCTTGAGACCTAATTTAGTAGACTGTAAACTTTGTAAGTTAGTCATGGTGGGTCTTTAAAACGCAAGATAACTTTTCTTTTCTCATCATAATTCAGAGATGTCTCTCTCTCTCTCTTAGTGCTATCCAGTAGAAGTATACACAGATGTGAACCACATATGTAAATTTAAATTTTCTGGTAGCCATATTTTTATTTATTTATTTTTTTTTTTTTTTA